TCTGAAGGTGCTTCTGGGGTCATGTGGCCAGCATGACTATACACTGAGGCGCATGAAACTCTGTTGCTTTGCTACCAAAGTGGTACCTATTTATCTACTTGCGTTTGCATGCTTTCAAGCTGCTAGCTTGGCAGGAACTAAGAATGGGAGCTCACCCTGTACTTGGGTGACAAACTGCCTACCTTCTGGTTGATTTTTTTTTATTATTATTATTATTATTATATTTGGATTTATATCCTGCCCTTCTCCTCGCGGACTCAGGGCGGCTGACAATCAATTAAAATACATAAATAACAATTACAAATTTAAAATTAATTAAAAGAAATATTTGAACATTGTCCAATTAAAATATAATTAAAACCCCTCTAAAAATTACCCTAGGCCAGTCCTGCAAGCTGGAATAACCNGGGAGCGTACAGGTCGATGGGAGGTAATCTGCGGCAGGAGGCGGTCTCGAAGGTATCCGGGTCCGATGCCATGGAGCGCTTTAAAGATGATAGTCAACACCTTGAAGCGCACCCGGAAGGCCACAGGCAGCCAATGCAGCTCGCGCAGCAGCGGTGTCACGTGGGAGCGTCGAGTCCCCCCCAACACCGCCCGCGCGGCTGCATTTTGGACCAGCTGGAGCCTCCGGGTGCTCCTCAAGGGGAGCCCCATGTAGAGAGCATTACAGTAGTCCAGGCGGGAGGTGACAAGGGCATGAGTGACCGTGCGTAGGGCGTCCCGGTCCAGAAAAGGTTGCAACTGGTGAATCAGGCGAACCTGATAAAACGCCCCTCTGGTCACGGCCGCCAACTGATCATCCAGTGTCAGCCGTGAATCCAGGAGGACACCCAAGTTGCGTACCCGATCTGAGGGAGCCAATGTTTCGCCCCCTATAGTCAGCGATGGAATCAGCTGACTATGCCGAGGTGCCGGTAACCACAGCCACTCGGTCTTGGATGGGTTGAGCCTGAGTCTGTTCCTCCCCATCCAGACCCTCACGGCCTCCAGACACCGGGTCATCACGTCAAGGGCATCGTTGGGGTGGCCCGGGGTGGATATGATTTTACCTAGTTTTAACAGCTAAGTCACTGCAGGATACATAGGATCCCTTTATAACGCAAACATATTGTTTGCACACCACATTGCACACAAACACTAGCATGCGCAGACATGTAAAGTGGTAATTGTCCAGCAGACTTCTAACAGTTAAGATCACTGCACTCTATCTGAGCTTGCGAAAAGATTTAACTTCAGAAACACAATTTTTAAAATCTTTGAAGTGGAGGCTACAAACACAAGCAATAGCACTGAGCAGCACTGGGTACAATCACTTAGGCCTAGTTATGGATACAGAGAAAACAGTTACCTCTTTATGCCTCAAATGTGAAGACCTGGGTTCTGAATCAAAAGGTGGTTAGGAGTAATTCAAGGAATTATCTGGACTCACTTTGTCCTCTGCCTAAAGCCATTGCCCATTCCTGAACTGAAGTCCTCTCCACCAATCCAATTATTCTAGCATGGCATTTGCTGTCCCTAATGCCAATCCCCACCCTGCTTCTGTTCCCAGACACACCCCAAACCAATGATGACCCCTCCAAGGTAATGGGTATGAAAGGACAACAGATTTTGCACACCTTCAGCATAAGGTGGAAAATGCTATTTTACCAAAGATGGAGCTTAGTAGTACAACTGGTGATGAGATAAAAGCAAGGAATCTAGGCAACAGAACAGAAGGACATGGCCAAGAAACATTTGTTTGTCTTATATGCACATAGGGAATGGCTCAAGAGAGCCCTGGAAAAGGTCAGTTGCAGAACAGAGTTGTAGGTAGAGTGGGTAGGGCGTTCAAGGAGTCCCGAATACCTGTTTGCACTGGTCTAGGAAGTTGGATTTTGAATATATTAGAAAAATTATGAACACATGCACTTCAATAAATAAGCTGATGGGGGGGATAATCACAATGAGGACTGTTTTTTTCTCAATTGCTGGAATTGAGATTCTAGCAGATTCTGTCTATGAGATGCCCTTGAGAGATCTCTTATTCTCAGGAATTGTAACTTAAAGCCCCAGCAATCTCCAAAGGCCTTCAATTCACATACAGCCCCCGCAAAAAACATTCTATTCCAAACTATAATTTATGTTCTGCCTTTACATTTTACATTCATAGATAAAGGATTTTACTTTTTACTGATTCCTAGTATTATATTTTAGTGTTTTAAAGCACTACTTAGTGTTTTAAAAATACAGAGAAAATTCAGAGAAAATATTCCTGCTTGATTTTTTATTTTCTTTAAAGGGCAACAGAAAATTTTATCATATACCATAAAGAAAAATAATGGAAAGCTTTTAATAAATAAAACAATATAGTCAGAGCTCTCCAAGTGCTTAGTCCCATACTTCTTCTACAACTGAATATTTTAAAATTTGAATATGGTGGCAGGAAACATTACTTGGATTATTTCCATTTTGGTAACTTGTCATAGGCAGGTGAAGTAATCTTAAAAAAAGATGAAAGGAAATAGAATACTGAATTGCTAGGTATTTTGTCAACACAGTAATAAAACTTTTGAATTTTACATTTCTGAAAAGAAACTCACCAGATTCATTTAGTTATCTCTGTTATCTTCATGCACTTTCCTGAAAATGTATTAGCAGTTTCACGTTTCCACCAACTTTGTTTTTACAACAAGAGAGAACCCTATTTATTTACCAGTTAGGAAAAAGGAAGAGATAGAAAGTGCTAACCAAAGAAAGATTTTATCATTTTTCTTGTGTCATAAGCTATTATAAACAAGTCTCTCTATGATATGTAGACATTTAATAAGTTCCTATAATTCTTCCTCCTTTTCTCAAATTATCTCACTTAGCATATTGTACAGCTTTGATTCTGCTTTGAAGATGACTGTGAGTAATGATTTTGTGACACCTTCGAGGTGAATAAAATTATGGAACCATCCTAGGGATGCAATACATATATGTACAGAGAGAACCTCTCTTGGTGTCATCTAAGCAAATCACTACTTGAAGTAGCTTGTGATATTTTGCTGTTAGCACACACTTTCCTATTTCTGTGCCTTTAAAGTTGTCCCCAGGGTACTGCAGAGACATTTTCACAGACGTTCCCTGGTTCTGGCCTTCCAATTCTAGAGTAGCAGAGAGGGCAATGAGCTAGGGACCAGAACACAGCAAGCTATCATCCAAATCAAGTCAATTGATGAGAGCCTGACCAAGAGAAACCTTGCAATAGTGGTGAAGAGGAACCTGCCAGATGATCCTTCTTGCTTGATTTTTCTAGGACTCCTGAATATAACTTCTAATGCCAACAGACCTGAAGTAGGGACACGAGGTGGCGCCCTTGATCTACTAATCCAGAAGAAGACTAGTCATGAGCTTTCAGAAGTCAAGGTCACAAATTGCCTGTCTCCTCCCTCCCCCACTCCATCAAGGTCAAGGTTTGAAGTATTTCTACTCATTTCATTTCACCAGTACTAAAATCCACCTGCAACCGCTCCAACATTTAGCCCGTTTGGTTAATAGACCATAAATATAAGCAGTCCTTACATTTTCAATCTTAACTATTTTTCATTGTGGAAGAGGTAGGTATTCAGACCATGTTTTTATATTTCTTCCCCCCACCTCGCCCACCATTTCAAAATATCTGACAATTTAATATTTTTGTATTTGTGCTCTGGTTAGGCAATGTAGCATTTTTAAAAAAGTATTAGATTTAAGAAACATCTACCAGGAATCCCAGTTTTCACAAGACTTATATAGCAATGGAAGAAATAAATAAGGATTTAATCAGTCTTTTATTATAGTGACTATTTTATTAACAGGTAGTATCTATCTATAGATTTTAGATTTTAATTTTCGGTAAAAATATAAAAAATAGGGGTGCAGAAATACATTTTCACAGTGAATTTTTTTTTAATTATTATTATTTACAGGATAGTACTGTGTCATCTAGTGAGCAGGGAAAAGCATAGAATGTGCTGGTTGAAATAATTGATTTATTGGGGGGAGAGATGTAAAATGAATTCGTATTTCTAATGCAGCCTTATAACTGTAAAACAAAGATAGAAAACTATTTACTTATAGATCAAAATATAGGCATAGAAATCAAAACACTTGTGGGAAAGACACAATTTTCACTCTGGGCTTCTTGGAGATATTTGTCTTCTAAAAAACAACTTTTTCATCAAAATAATAGGGCTGTGCTGCCAGTTTTTATCTGTGTCACATATTTTAAAAGAATAATGTATGGTATTTGATATTTAATTAATGTAATTAATTATCGCTTGATAATTAGTCATTGACCTTGAAATGTATAAAGTTTCTTTACAAAACTAGAGAAAATCCCATTTTTTCACTGAATTTATGCATGATGAAATGAGTTATTGAAAAATATGCTAACAGCTTTTCCCAAAAAAAATTCTAGCAGTTTATCTTGCTTTTAACTCAAGATTAATCCTACATAAAAGTTGTTTCATTGCTGTCTGCCAAAATCTTTACTCAGTACCTTCCTTTAAAAGAAAAAAAAAATTGCTTAAATGAACAGCAACTGTACATTCTTTACTGCACCAAATTTACTATTTGACGTGTTTTTTGGGATCATAATATAAGCAATGGAATACTTGTATGTTTGTGTGTGTATATTTTTTTAAAAAAAATCTTCCCAATTATAATCCAAAAGCATTCTAAAATAGTCACAAATAATACTTACACTGTTTTCAACAATATGTTATCTTTTAAAAATTGAACTGCAATATCCCTGGTCCATCTGGATTTTATAAATCAGTCCCTGCAGTGGTGCCTTTTGGATTTTCAGGAGAGCGTCTTAAAAGGCGTCTAATAATCATAGTTGTTCAAAAACCATCTATCCAAAGACAGAAAGGGATTTTTTTAATAAAGAAAAAGTTTATTATTTTGTATTTTTCATTAGTATTTTAAATTGGGCCAGGCGGGGAAAAAATTAATTTTGAGGCCTCAAATCAGCTACATTTCTATTAAATCCATTAACTGCTTGTCTTCAATTTGTTGATGACTTTTTTTTCTTTCACTCTTCTATTTTGGAACCAAATTGTGACCTGCCTCTCTGAGAGATTTGTAGCAGCCGATATCCTTCTTCTCTTGTCCTTGGTAATGAATTTATTTGTAGCATATTCCCTCTCCAGTTCTTTTAACTGAACTTTTGTATAAGGCACTCGTTTCTTCCTTCCACGCCTGTAGGAGCTGGCATCGGAAGGATGTGAAACCACATCTAGAACAGAAAACCAAAAACAGGAAGGCAGGTGCTATTATTATTCACAATCCTTAAACACATTGTAAATATCAGTTCTATGGATCAACAGACCATCCTTTTGTAAGCTGGCTGGGTTAAGCAAATCAACATTTGCACAAATTCTCCAGGTAAGGAATTTCTTCTCTAGGACTAGTAATACTGCTTGTAAACTTCTTGGCTTATAACATAAGGAAAATCATATACAGTTGCCATAACCTACAGGGTGGCAACTGAGACCTTGTGAATCAAAAAGTATTTTTCAACTAACTTTTTGTGCTCAACAGTCTCTTTTTGCTCCTTGCCTAATTGTCTCTTAGGGCACATACAAAGAAAACCAATACACTATCCTTGCATTTGTTCTCACAATGAAGACAACTGGCATCTAACTTCAGTACAGCTGCAAAATGCAGTGGGAGTCCTGGAGGGGCTGACCCACATAATCTAGCAGTGGAGCCACCAGAACTGATAGCTACATTTTGATGTCAGAATAAAAGGGGGGAGGCTGCAATATCTTTCTTGAGGGGTAGTCAGGACAGCAAGAATGGAGACCAGCATCCTGATGACAGCACAACTCAAAGAGTCACTGTTATGAGATGGGTAGCTATATAAATGGCTTAAACAATACAAATAAATCCAAATGCCCAGATTGTTAATGAGAGGGTGGTAAGCTGGAAAGGAAAATAAAGCACACCATTAGACAAAAGTAATGGAAACTCTAATTTAAGATGGCTGTTAGAGCACCCATGTGCAGAAGGCAGAAACTATGTGAAATAATCAAAATAATCATATTATTTCTGAGAGTCATGATTTAATAAGAAATTGGGAGTTTACCTAAGAGGACTGCTACTACTGCTGTGCTGATTATTATTATTAACCTGACAGACATTAAAAAAAAATTCTTGCTGAAAATTGGGTGAAAATGGGAACAAGAGTCGAAAGCTCAGTTATTTGCACGATCAAGATGTCTGATTTTCCACTGAACCCTCTGGTTCAGACCCCTTGGCATCCGTGCCTGAGAGAAGAAAGCCTTGTCTGGGCAATAGCTGTGGCACCGGGTGCGGGAATGGGAACGTGTGGTGACACCCCCCCCCCCCGAGACTCACAACTCAGAGTCCAGACAACTTGAGGAAGGCCCCAGACCCACCAGACTCGCCAAGGGCCTCGAAACCTCAAGTCTTCTCCCGACCTTACCTGACCGGGCAGAAAGCACAGAAGGGCAGAAGGGACTCCATTTCCCTCGTGGGCTCAGAACGAAGGGAATGGCAGGCGATTCGGGGACGGGGAGCGAGGAGACCCCGAAGCAGCGGCCGCCCTTTGACATTTGGGCTGCAGAGCTACTTCGGGTGCTACACGCATACTCCGCGGGAAGGGAAGGGCCGCGCAGGTGCTTTACCCGGCAGAGCGGATTTCCACAGGTGGGGAGGCTGGCTCTGCTCCTTGGGGCAATAGACCTGCCCGTTCCAGCCGTTAGGGATGGCCCAGGGCTGGTAGCCTTCCACGGGCAGCATGGAATCGTGCCTGGGCTCGCCGCGGCCGCCGAGCGCGGGCACCACCGGCATATCCAGGTAACCCGCCGGCATGGGTTGGTAAGGTCCGGCGGCGTAGCCCTGGTAAAAGGCGAACTCCTTGGCGCGCGAGGGGAAATCTTCGCTGGAAGCCGCCACCGACGTCTCCATGTACTTGTCGGCGAAGGAGGAGGAGGAGGAGGAGGAGGCAGGCTGGGCGCAGGACTTGAACGAGGCGTTGTGGTGGTGGTGGTGGTTGACGCTGCAGGGGAAATAGCCGCTGCTGAAGTAGCTGTAGGGCAGGGCGGCGGGGCCCGATGAGCCCTGCACGGCGGCCGAGCAGGGACTGCACTGCTTGACAGCTGCCCCGGTCTCTGCCATTCCGGCGGCGCTGGGCGCTTCACTCGACGGATATGCGGCGGCGGCGGCGGCGCTGCCCGGACCGGCCAGCGAGGCTGGGTGAGCCATCAGATTCCGGCACTGGTTGGCCGCCACGAAGTTGGTGCCTGCAGCCGCGGCCGCGGCTGCCGCGTGGAACCCCGCTTCCATGTTCTTGTTGATCTCTTCCAGGCTGTTGTCGTAGAGAAACATGACCGGCTCGATCCAGCGAGGATGGAGGAGCACGGAGGCTGTCATAGCCCGATCCGCATTGAGACCAGTGGCTCTTTTTTAAAAGCCCCAAAGACTGAAAAAAGAGATATTCAATCTCTCAGAGTTGACCAGGACTGACGCGCCAGTGTCGTGCCAGGCTGGCTCCCATTGGCTGAGCATCCCCCACGTGATATGCAAAGCAGATGATAATCATCAGAGGAATAAAGTGCAGATAATTCAATAATGTTCTAATCGCGCTGGGGCTGGAATTCCTGCACGCGGACGGCACTGGCACGCGGCTGCCCCTTCCACTCAAGACTCTGTGGGTCAAGAGAGGCACGAACGGGGGTGCTTAAGAACAGGTATTTCTCTCCCCCCTCCAAAGTATGCCTGTCTCCTCTCCCCTCCCTCTCCCCTCTCTTCAGTACATTGCCTATGGGGCATTTTTTTCAGCAGGAGATCCGCGGTCCTGATGTCAAACTTTCGCTAACTCGTCCTTGCTGATATACTTGGTGGTAGATTTTTTTTGGGGGGTGGGGGTGGAAAGGGATGTTTTGTTTTGTTTAGATCCTCCATTCCGCCCACCCCGACTCACTCGACAAATTGATATCTTCTTACCTACCGGAATTGCAGAAGCATCTAGCTTTGTTCTGATTACAGTTACATTTACCAGAACCACATTTTAAAAAGAAAGAAATAACTACTTTCAGGCCACAAGGACATGGCAATGCTTTGGCAAAAGCTTAATGGCACACACTTTCTTCTGCAGGCCTGATTTACTTTCCAAAAATTATAGAGAATGTTACCGTTCTCTTTTACATCAATATTTTACCCCTCTCCAGAGAAAATCATTAGAAGTGCAGGTTGTAGATTGGCTTTGTCAGAGTTCAGAAAACAAGGGGTTAACTCGTCCCTACCACAGTAAAACGCAGAGCCTGTAATTTTTGCTTGAATCATCTTCTACTATAAAAACAAAAACAAAACCAACAACTGGGAAAATTTATTGCCTATGAGTGTCTACCGAGGTTTCCTAATAGTAGCAGAATTAATATTGCTGCTACTACCACCACCACTAATGTTAATCTAAACATATTCAATAAAAAATTAATACAAACCAAGAAAATGCTGCTGAAGCTGCAACTTTAACACTGTTTTTTTCTATTTAAAAAACCCTGTTGTCTGTGAAGGTGTGCCTGTATTCGAAGAAATTATACAAGGAAATGTGTACTGTAAACAGAGAGCTATTGAGGATACACATTCCTTGTAAACAAGTAAATTAAAGGTGATGTCGTTACTGAATGAGACCTGTCAGAAATTTGCCCTGTTCACTACTCTTTAAAGAAGGGGAAAAGCTTCGTGGTGGCGTTTTGTTTATTATTGGGGAGTTGCTTTAATTTTTGATGGTCATACTAAGGAATGGCTAACTGTGGGAGTCACCACACTTATTTTCTCTGGCTGGCATTTTAAACTCTGCATTGTTCAGCGGGGTTTTTCCCCCCCTCCTGGTCTGTAAGGAAGGAACTGATCTGTCAGTTCTCCGGGGCCCCCCAGTCTCGCCAGCCCTTTGCTGAGAATGGTATGCAATCCAGGGAATTTGTCCCTGAACAATATTTCAGCGAATTCTTTTAATTGTAGCCATAAAGGGCTCTTTCCCCTCCAGTCCCAACCTCTCCTGGATTATCTTTTTCCGCATTCTTTCTCATGGCCAAAGGCAAATATTTATTCCTAGCATATTTTCAATCCCCCCTCCCCGCCCGCCCGCTTCCCTTCCTTCCCTTCTCAAAAGTCTTGAGCCTTGGAAAAATAAGAGCTTCGACATCTTTCCATTATTCCACGGAAGATAGAGGGAAGCTTTCACTGTCCCTGACCAACTGGGGAACCGCCGTTCCTTCCATTGCAAGCCAGCCGGGATCGAAGGCAACTATCCTGCACAGAACAGGAGCCCCTAGTCTTCTTCATCCCCTTCGCGCAGGCGGAAGATTCAACGTTCCTCTAGATAGAAGATACTGGTTAAACTTGACTAGAGGCCAAGGTCAAGTTGAAAGCTGCGGGGTCCGGCTAATGGCAGAAGAGGAGCAGCAGCCCTCGAAGCCCCTGCAGCCTGGTTGACGCATCAGCAGCCCCTAAAAGAAGCTTCTTTCCTTTCTCCTGCCCCTCCCTTGGGAAAAAAACCACTTCTAGGTTGCTTTCACACTTAATATGTGTGCCTGTAAAAACACGTATGCAGACAGCCAAATGTAGGCATGTAGACGGTTATGTTCTTTCTTCCTTCCTTCCTTCCTTCCTTCCTTCCTTCCTTCCTTCCTTCCTTCCTTCCTTCCTTCCTTCCTTCCTTCCTTCCTTCTTTCTTTCTTTCTTTCTTTCTTTCTTTCTTTCTTTCCTTCCTAACAGCACTCCCAATGTTTCCAAGTGGTTTCAAAGAAAAGGAAGATCCTCCTGGGGAATACTAGACTTTGAGATCATCACTGTTGGAAAAGTGTCCCAAATTTCAACTTAATAATGTGCATAATGAGATTAGAAACCAGTAAACAAACAATTGAGCAAAGGTATATCTTAAACTGTAGTTAAATGGCTGCATTCAAAACTACCCAGCTAAAAGTGAGAGGAAAGAGGGGTCATGAGCCTGGGGCAAGATTATCACAAGGGCCTTGCTCCCTTTTATCCCACCTGACTGGACCGGTCAAAATCTGCTCGAAGTCCTCTCTGATTTCCTAAGTGAAGTTCTCACAAAGGAGCAACTGGCCTCGCTTCTAAATTGTTCTAATCATGGTGGATAAAAGGGCACGGATGAGCACTGGAACACAGTGTAGAAGAGACTCAACCCCAAGACTTCCCTCTCTCGCTGTTGCTTGGCACGTGAATCTGTTGGGGGGGGAGTGCGTGTGCTTGGGGGGGGTCAATACAGATATTTGTATAGGTGTTGTTGTATAGGTGTTGTTTCATTATGGATATTAATTTTGCAGAAAATATAAATACGTAACTTGCCCCCCTGTTAGAGATTTTTCTCTAAGCTGGAATCTTTCATTTGGTAAAATTTATTCGCTGCTATCAGAACCCATCAGGAATCCTCCTTCTCAATATGTGGCCTAAAGCATTATTTCCAAGATGAAAGAGAATTGCTTACTGCTGATGAGTATGATTTTCTGGCATCACAACAAAAATTTGGATGAATCCTGTGTTCTGGGATGGTGAGGACTGCGCCTTATTTCCCAGCCCCCTCCCCCCATGTGTATATAAGGAAAGGGAAGGAAGGAAAAAGGGAAGGAAAGGAAACAGTAAAGAGAAAGGAAAGAAAAAAGGAAAGGAAAAGAAAAAGGAAAGGAAAAGAAGAAAGAGAAAGGAAGGGAAAAAGGAAAAGAAAGGGAAAAGGAAAGGAAAAGAAGAAAAAAAGGAAAGGAAAAGTGAGCACAATTGGCAGCAATAATTTCATAACCATATCCTAATCTATCCCTTGGAGAAAATCTATAGATAAAAGTAAATTACCTGGAACAAAAAGTGATGATGGTCAGGTAATGAAATGTCTGCAAGTAGAGAATCGAGCTCAAGGCCCCCATGGAACAAAAGGCCTTTGACTATTTTCTGCCCTGTCCTGTCCCTCTACATTAGCTAAAGATTTAAAGGATTATATTTATCCAGGAGTAGTTGAAGATTTTAAAAGTAATGAGAGCAAAGTGGTTCCTTGTCCTTGAAGTCAGTAGTTCCTTGTCCTTGAGGATCGGAGGAGATTTTGTCCTTGGTCTTTCTCATTCATTAAGGTATTGGTAGCAAAAATTAGACAGTAGGAGTTTTACAATCCTAGAACAAAAAGACCAAGGCTGCCCTCCCAGTCCTGTTCTCAATTCATGCAGGGTTAGTGGTGTCTTTGGAATGAGCTTTCATGCTACATGAATGAATATGATGTCAAGATTTAACAGAATGCACAATATGAATACCAGATTAAAAATGATAGTTAAGTGGCACAAAATTTTACCTAGTATTAATAAGGGGAATTTGCATAAAATTAGGGTGTCCTACTTCTCTCTCCCCCCTCCCATCCGCCCCTCCAATAACTATACTGAAATATCACTGAAATTAACAAACTTGTTATTACTTTCCTGGATGTGTCAATTGAGAAAGTTAGCTCCATTGATTTCACTAGGATTTACACAGAGATAATTTAAAGCTTTATTTCAAAAGCATTGTATGCTGCATTATAATGAAGCCCAACAGGAAAAATCTCACTTTTAATTTTACTAGACTGAGTACTCTTATTGTAACCAGCAGCATACATCTGGTTCACTTTAATTAATTTGGGCTTTGCCATTTAATGACCTCGAATAGTAGTAACAGTTTGCATATATAAATGCATTCCATATTAAATTCCCTAGTAATCTCGCTCCCCAAAATGAAGTAAACTCTTGGATGATAGTCGGAAAACCCTTTAATTGAATTTAAGTCTTTATAGAACTTTCAATTTATTGGCCATTGCGTTTATTTTTCAGGGCAGCTGGAAGGATATATTTTCTCTGTAATTTTTTCCATAACAACATTTTTGAGTCAATTTTAAGAATGTGTTTCTCACATAACTAAACAGCTTTAGAGCAGCATTTGCATACTGTAGCCTCCTGAGTGTTAGGGCTTTACTTTTTTGGGGTGTGTGTGTGTGTGTGTGTGTGTGTGTGAGAGAGAGAGAGAGAGAGAGAGAGAGAGAGAGAGAGAATCGGAAAATAAGAAAGATATTCAAAAGATACCTAGATGTAGAGAAGGATCACCCAAATGCAGATTTCTCTTAAGTATGAAGGAAGGTATACAAAAGAAAATAAGCACAGGTAAAGTAAAAAGAAATAGTGGAAAATGTTCACTGGCCTTTGACTTTTGTGATTTAAAAAATGAGTATTTTATGAACCTTGATTCAGAATTCAAAAAATGTGTAAAACATTTAGGGAATATAAATAAGTCAAAGACTGGAGATGACTTGGTGCCTAGTGATCAGAATTAACAAAACATACGGTGCATATTTCTGTCAATTTTTTTGTCATTTTTTCATAACTGCATATCTGAAATTT